GACGCTCAACCAACTGAGCCACCCAGGCGCCCCTCTCATTTCCTTTTCTAATATGTTGCTTTTAATCTGGTATAAATTCAAACACTAGAAGACTAGGCATATTAAGATCATGAGCCTAGTGAGGCTATAGTATATCTTCATGAATAAAGTGAATGAACTTTGGTGCCTAGGCTTTGTAACGATTCTTGTAGCTGCATAAAAGCCTTTGTGGGGGGAAAAAAATGAAGGGAGGAAAGAAAAAAAGATAATAACTTTACCTGGAACACATGCCAAAATTGTGACTTCTTTATAGGCACATTTAAGGGGCGCCTGGGTGGGTCAGTCAGTGAAGCGGCCGACTTCGGCTCAGGTCACGATCTCGCGGTCCGTGAGTTTGAGCCCCGCGTCGGGCTCTGTGCTGACCGCTCAGAGCCTGGAGCCTTCTTCAGTTTCTGTGTCTCCCTCTCTCTCTGACCCTCCCCCGTTCATGCTCTGTCTCTCTCGGTCTCAAAAATAAATAAAGGTTAAAAAAAAAAAAATTATAGGCACATTTAAGCCATCTGTTCTTTCCTGTGAAGGTAAACTTAGAAAAGAAAAAATAATTTTTAAGTAATATTACTTAACAAATTAATAGACTTCAAGGCACCTGAGTGTCTCAGTTGAGTGGCAGACTCTTAATTTCAGCTCAAGTCATGATCTCATGGTTTGTGAGATCTAGCCGCACATTGGGTTCTGTGCTGAAGTACACAGAGCCTGCTTCTGATTCTCTCTTCCTCTCTCTCTGCCCCTCTCCAGTTCATGTTCACTCTCTCTCAAAATAAATAAATAAACTTGAAAAAAAATGTTTTAAATAATGAACTTCTTGGTCATAGTAAATCATTTTACTTATGTGACATCATTGTGGTTTATTTGTGCGCCGTTCCCAGGATATTTAACAGAAGCATGAAAGGATTCTTAAGTTCTGTGTAGATAAAACTTTCAGGAGTCCATCAGTGTCCACATTAGGTGGACAATTCACTGAATGATATTTTGACAGTATATATACCTATGTGATTTGGATAGTCTTATGGTTCTAAGAAACACAATAGTAGTTTGTTTTTTTTTTTAATTTTTTTTTAATGTTTTATTTATTTTTGAGACAGAGCGAGACAGATCATGAATGGGGGAGGGTCAGAGAGAGAGGGAGACACAGAATCTGAAGCAGGTTCCAGGCTCTGAGCTGTCAGCACAGAGCCCGACGCGGGGCTCGAACTCACGGACCGTGAGATCATGACCTAAGCCGAAGTCAGATGCTTAACCGACTGAGCCACCCAGGCGCCCCAAGAAACACGATAGTTTTAATTCAAGTGGCAGATTTTTTTCAACGAGGGTAACTTTCTTGAGATCCAGGGTGGAGTGATTTTAGTGAATATTAAGTGCCTAAAATATGCTCTGTACCATTTTGGATGTTTTGGGATCCCAAAAGAAGTCGATTTTATAATAGAGTAGAGAAAGTAGTTCAGTTAATAAACTGGAGCCTTGTTTGCCCTGGACTGTATGAAAAAAAAAAATAGGGGCGCCTGGGTGGCGCAGTCGGTTAAGCGTCCGACTTCAGCCAGGTCACGATCTCGCCGTCCGTGAGTTCGAGCCCCGCGTCGGGCTCTGGGCTGATGGCTCAGAGCCTGGAGCCTGTTTCCGATTCTGTGTCTCCCTCTCTCTCTGCCCCTCCCCCGTTCATGCTCTGTCTCTCTCTATCCCAAAAATAAATAAACGTTGAAAAAAAAAAATTTAAAAAAAAAAAAAGTGTGTTTTATTTAAAATATGATTTAAGTAATTGAGTTCTGATATTTGCTAGTTCTTAATGTGCCATTGAGTTAAAGCTAGACTTAATGATGTAGTTCATTTAATATGCTTTATTTGAACAACTGATATATATATGCTAGCCCAAATGTAATTGTTATTGTAAGGCACAATGCCTGATAAGTCTTATTTGGACGGTAAAAATAGACATATTCACTTTGATTTTTTTTTTTTTTGATAGGACTTCTGTAATGACAAGAGTTATATTTCAGAAGAGACCAGAGTGCTTCTGTTAACAGGAAAGGTATTATGTAGTAGATAATTTGGAAATCTTTATTGCATGGGTATATTACTTCTGCTATTCTTAGAAATAACCTTTAAATATCCCATGGATTTTTATGTTCCTGATTCTTAGGGATCATATTGTGAATTATAGCATCTAAGGCATTTGTACTCTCAGGCTTTCTTCTGCCATAAATGACCCTTTTGAATTACGGCCATGTGTTCTCATCAGTACTAGTAGGCTTCAAGTTACTTAGAATCTACAAAGCAGATTTTCTTGAAAAGTGTCATAATAAATTTAGATATGTAAGATTGAAAGAAATAATTTTAAAGTATTAATGAGTTAGACAATTAATATTCTATAAAAGTAGCATGACACCTAACATAAAAGAGCAAGAGAAATTTAACTTTTGAGAAAAAGTGCCTAAACTACTACTATATACATTTAATTGTTTATTCGTAAGATATTTTATTATGTCTTATTTATTATGTACTTCGCATTGTTTCAGGGGCACTTTTCATTTTGATTGAGCAATAAGGAATAATTAATTGCCTGGTTATTTTTAAGTAGAAGTAATGCTTGTGACTTGTATTCAGACAAACCCAATTTTGCAAAATTATCATTTCTAATAAATTTAGGATTTAACTTTCCAAAGTAACAACAATTCCGTGGCTTAAGCTAAACAGTTTCTTTTACATGTGTCTAAATTTATATGAATTCCTTATAGTAAGGTATAAAATAACATGCATATGTGTAACTTTTAGCCAAAACCTGCTGGAGTACTAGGTGCAGTAAACAAGCCTTTATCAGCAACAGGAAGAAAACCATATGTTAGAAGCACCGGAGCTGAGACTGGAAGCAACATTAATGTAAATTCAGAGCTGAACCCTTCAACCGGAAGCCGATCAAGGCAAGTTTTTTTCTCCAGTTGTTTGTGTTAGTATCACTCACTAATTGGTTCATCTTTTAAAAGTTTTGTTTTTTTTTTTAACGTTTATATATTTTTTGAGAGACAGAGCACGAGTGGGGGAGGGGCAGAGAAAGAGGAAGACACAGAATCCGAAGCAGGCTCCAGGCTCTGATACTTGGTTGATCTTTTAATTTTTACCTAAAGCACTATATCACAAAAATGGACTTTAAGAAACATTTGGGTATAAAATAATGGCACTGATGGGGCGCCTGGGAGGCGCAGTCGGTTAAGCATCCGACTTCAGCCAGGTCACGATCTCGCAGTCCGTGAGTTTGAGCCCCGCATCAGGCTCTGTGCTGATGGCTCAGAGCCTGGAGCCTGTTTCCGATTCTGTGTCTCCCTCTCTCTCTGCCCCTCCCCCGTTCATGCTCTGTCTCTCTGTCCCAAAAATAAATAAACGTTGAAAAAAATAAATAAAATAATGGCACTGAGTTTCAGTATAATTAATGATGGAAATTCAGTGTATTATTACCTTGTGAAACCATATAACATTCTAAGTGTAAAAAAGTTAAATGGAACAAATGTAAGAATGTCTAATAATATATTATTACTAATGTATATGGAAATGTTTATATAAGAAAACACAGGAAAACTATGAATAACATATTATTCATATTAACTATGAATAAATATTTAACAGGAAAACTGTTAAATAAATTGAATTTTTATGCTTTTTAATTTTTAATTCAAATTAATATAGCATGGGTTAAGATAACATTGTTATGACATTTCTAAGGACTAAGAATATTCCATGCTTATTTTAACATGTCACATTTTTACCATGTTAGCTACTACATAAGAATTTCCACCAGACTCTACTCTTAAAAACACTAGAAATTGAAGCTTTTAAAGATTTGATTCTTACTCCTGAAATTTTAAGTATAAACTCAGTTGGTATTGTTTTAAACACATTTTTAGCAGTAGAACCCCAAAATATAAAGTAAATTAACATGGAACATCTGTGGTTTACAGAAATGGTGGGTCTCCAGATACCTCCCCTCTGGCCTGTTCTTCCAGCCTCCTTCCCTTGCAGAGCATTAAGAACACAGACCAGAGGGGCACCTGACTGACCCTTGATTTCGGGTTTGTAAGTTTCAGCTCCACAGTGGGTGTAGAGATTACTTAAAAATAAAACCTTAAAAAGAAAAAAAAAAAAAAAA